GTGGTAGGGCTGCCTCTGGGTTTTAATTCCAGATTGACTCTCGATTTACCAGTTCAAATGTGCACAAAGTGAGAACAGGTCCGGTCGTGAAAATGGGCCTGCCCGGCGATCTAATTGCTGGCCATCCTGTGCTAGCCGCGGGTGAACAGTGGAGCGGCATTCGGTAACGGAAAGCTGCAAAGAAAGTATACTCCACCGTCCGGTGAATAATCAATCGGTAACTAGCAGTGCCAGCATTACCAGGGTGCCTAGGGTTAAAATCAGGTGCACTGCTGCCGCTGAGAATACTACAAACCCCGCATGGAGACAGTGAGACGACGAGCAATAACAAACACCAGACAGGCTCTCTTCCCGCCGATGCCTTGATGGTAGGTTGGAAGGGCCAGTATAATGTAAAACAACTTTGATGGGGCTGCTCAGTACGCAAATTTGCTTCATTTACGAAAACACTGTTCAGGTCAACACTACGGTGTCCACGGCGATGTGCTGCACGAACATCCCATTGTTGCAAGGACCAGTCAATAAAAACTGATACACTTTTTTGGCAATCTAGTTCACTGCTCACTAAAAAAGACAGACAGATCGACTGACGAAATAACTAAGTTCTACGCAGAACTGAGGGACAGGCTACAACGTCTTCTTAATGGGACTTTTTGGACACTCAATTATGCAAAATCCGACACTTAGTTGTGACCTGGTAAGCGTGGAGATAGGGACCATTTCGTGTGTGGCATGCACAAACAAGATACGTAGTTTGAACAATTTTTTGTCTATATTTGAGGATCCTAGCTTTATCCTGACGTCGGAACACGGTAGACATGGTACAAGTGAAGGGAGGCAGAGGTAGCGTGAGTCTGCTCCACCACAAACAAACTCTCCCTCACTTTGTGGGACAAGAGTGAACGTTGTCGCTTGCGACGGTCGAACTACGGTGAACAAACACGTGGAACGAAAAGTGGGGATTTTCGACTGTTGTCTGATAAATTTCCTAGCAGTTGCGCTCCTGTTGATCAGTTTTGGTACCTCATACTCGAGAAACGCGAATTTATTAGGAGATGCACGACTGCTACTTGAATTTCAGTAGCAGGAGGCGAAACAAGACGACGGTTACGGAGTAAGACCACATAGGTTCTTGCAGTAGTTTCACTAAGCACGTTATCGCAGCATAATGACCGCCACGCCGCACTGAAGCCGCATTTTTTAAATTGTGCTACCCCGAGACTTTCTCGGACACGCATACAGTTGGTTACTAACGAGAGCGTAGTCGGACTTTTAGCCGGTGTGTGTCTCAACAATTCGCAGTGGGCAAGTATCAAGAGCCGCACATGCCTGACACTGAACCACATGAATGTGTCCAAGCTACACGGAACCAATGTATGTGTCGTCAGGTGTTTAAACCTGTTGTTGGCCAATATCAGCAGGTTTCATACAGTAGAGCTGAAAAAAATATGTCCTCTTCGTAGAGATTGTTGTTGTTGTACTAGCTTACTCCCTTAACCTAGTTTGCCAGCAATAC